TAAACTTCCTAACGCAGAACTGCCGAACTCAGGCTGGTCTTGGCCTACGTCTTTCTGTTCCTCGGATGTTCTTGACCATGTAGGATCCCTAAACCCTAAACCTAAGCCCTAAACCCTAAACCCCAAACCCGAAACCCTAAACCCTAAACCCGAATGCCTTTCAGTTTTGGGGTTAGGGCTCAAAGGGGTCCCCGGAAGCCGAAGAAGGCAACGGATCGTCCCCGCTGTTTCGGGTTTAAGGTGCTTGATGGGTTTAGGGTTTAGGGTTTAGGGTTTAGGGCTACTTGGAAGTGGGGTATCTATACTTATCACCTAACTTAGGGTACTTATAACCCTATTAATATCTACCATGAACCTTCAAGTCGGGCTGAAGCCCGAATCCCTAAAACCCCAAAACGCATCAGGGTTTAGGGTTTAGGGTTTAGGGTTTAGGGTTTAGGGTTCGCACAGATCACTCTACCTCTCCAAAATCGGGGTTCCCGTAAGAAGGATGAGAGAATAATCGTGTAGATTAGGGGGTTCCTGTACCCGAAACCCTAAGCGCCAAGCCCTGAACCCTAAACCCGAAGCCCCCGAAATCCTGAAACCCAAGCCCTCAACCCTATATAAACCCTAAACCCTAAACCCTAAACCCTAAGCCCTAAGCCCTAAACCCTAAACCCTAAACCCTAAACCCTAAACCCTAAACCCTAAACGCTAAACCCTAAACCCTAAACCCTAAACCCTAAACCCTAAACCCTAAACCCCAAACCCCAAACCCTCAACCCTAACCCTGAAGCCTAAACCCTAAACCCTAAACCCTCGTTTGGGAAGTGCCAACTCAGAAAGCTGAGATTCATGGTGCTCGTCTCCGCCAATGAAGCGGCAGCCCGGCCAAAGGCGCGGAAGCCTGGGCCTCATCCTAAGCCCTAGGTCCCCAAAAAGGGTTTTCGGGTTTAGGTTTAGGGTTTGGGTTTAGGGTTTAGAGTTTAGAGTTTCAGGGTTTAAGGTTTGGGGTTGAAAGCCCCAATTTCCTAAACCCCAAACCCGAAGCCCGCAACCCCAAGCCACAGAAGCTGCACCAGTCCCTCCCAGACCCCTACTGCACGGTCTTAAACCCTCAGCCGAAACCGAACACTCTTGTGGTTTAAGGACCCATTTCACCCAGAAGAGCCTCTCCCATAACGGAGACCCGTAAAGGGTTTAAGATTTTAAGACTTCGGGCAGGTCACCTACCCGGGAATCTTCCGGAAGGCCGTGATCAGCCTCGGTACCTGGCCCAAAAGCTCAGTGCTGGAGGGGTTAGGCTTGCTGAAGGGCTGTGGACTGAGGCATTCAGGGACTCAGGATTGGTTGTTTTGGGGTCCAGGGCTGGGGACGAGGGTTTTAGGGTTGTAGGGTTTTAGGGTTTAGGGTTTGTGTTTGTGTGTGTGTGTGGTTGCCCGCCCCCAAACCAAACAAGCGCGGACGAGGGAGGGCACTCTATTGAAGCACCCCTCAGCCCACAGCCCCAAACAACCCTCAACCCGAAATTAAGGCCAGGTGGCTTGAAAAGTGACCATCATATGGGAAAGCGAGCCATCATGTGAGAAAGCGAGCCGACACCCCAGTCAAACCCGTCCAACCCCTGAACCCTGAACCCTCAAACCCGCCAAACCCAATGAGGGGTTTAGGGCTGAGGGTGCCTAAACACCCTGAAGCCATGAACTCTGAATCGAACACCAAAGATGCCCACGATTCCTAAACTGCCATTCAAGGCACCGCCTTACTGCTGAATGGCTTCGTGCTGCTCTGCATCGTGGAACCGGACCTCAACGTAGGGCTCGGTCTACTTGCGAGCCCATGTGACTTAGGAAGTGGGGTTAGTAAGGTGGGTTATGGGGAGTATAATCGGGGATACGAACTGAACTTACTAGGTCAAAAGAGCTTCTAAGTTGGGTCGGGCAGCTGAGAGTCTCAGAAGCATTTGCCAAGTGTGCGTGAGGATCCATGGTACGATGCGCAGTACGTAATCCCGTTGGCAGTGGGCCGGCCCAGTTTGTCGGGTTTCGTGGGGTTTGCTGCGCGGTGCGATGGGGGTCTGGGGAGGTGATTGCATCGACGGCCTTGGCAGTCTGACAGGGAGGTTTGCATGGAGTGATAGTCGGCGGCACCGGCATTGAGTCCGTCTACTGTCTGATGCAATTGCAGCCAGGGCATGCTCATTAACAACTCGCTGACGGGCACCGCGCTCGCCCTGAATGCGATGATTGACTACCTGTACACCAACAAAGAGCAGGCACGCTGTTCGAGTTTTGGAGATCTCCCTGCCGTCCTGCTAGGTATGTTAGGCTTGCAGGGTTTGCGAGTGATAGCTTGTTGGATATATTGGTACAGCATGGATAGCCCAGGGTTGGAGCGTATTCAGAGGGCAGGGATTGAACGAGTTCCCCGGAGCACATGTCAGCCTGTCTTCTGCATGGGTTGCTGTTGCCCGCACCAAAGGCAAAGCTCTGTAAGGCCCCCTTGACCGCAGCCCAAACCCTAATTACGCCCTAAACCCTAAACCCTAAACCCTAAACCCTAAACCCCAAACCCCAAACCCTAAACCCTAAACCCTAAACCCTAAACCCTAAACCCTAAACCCTAAACCCTAATCCCCCAAATCCTTCAAAAGGTAGAGGTGCTTCTCGCCTTCGGCGCTACGCCTGCGCCTCAGCTGCTCCCTTGCTTCATGGACCGTCGTCTTTGCTGGGGCATAGGGTTTATAGGGTTAGGGTTTAGGGTTTAGGGTTTAGGGTTTAGGGTTTAGGGTTTAGGGTTTAGGGTTTAGGGTTTAGGGTTTAGGGTTTAGGGTTTAGGGTTTAGGGTTTAGGGGTTGCCTTTGCCCCATTTTGCCCGTCCCACTTTGAACGTGTTGGGAGTCGCCGATTGGGATGCTGACGCATGACAGGCGCCCACTTGCAAATGAAGCAAAAAGCACTTTGCCGGGGCGGGCCTTGCAGGTGTAGGGTTGAGGGTCTAGGGCCTAGGGGTTAGTTTAGGAACATGATGTCTCAACATCAGTTGTTCTCTGTTAACTCAACAGAGAACCCGAAGCAACTAAGAAGAGCTTTTTCCTTTCAATATCATCAAGAGGATGTTCCGGAAGCTCTAAGAAACCTTCATGGCTTTTTTGTTGGGGACCATAGACCCCTCAAAGCCCAGAGGCTAAGGGCTGCCCATCTCAAGTTCAGCCAGAGTTGCTTGCCTCTTGTGATCGTCTTGAAGCGGCCAAAGATGCTTGCGACTGCAGGGGTTGGCGCATGGACTTAAGCTTCAAGACTACCAAACCCTAAGCCCACTAAAGCTTGAACCCCCAAACCCCTGAACTCCTATACAAAAACTCTAGAACCCCGAAGCCAACACCCTAAAGCCGAACCCTATAGCCCCCCCCCCCCCCCCCCTAAACCCTAAACCCTAAACCCTAAACCCTAAACCCTAAACCCTAAACCCTAAACCCTAAACCCTAACCCCTAAACCCTAAACCCTAAACCCTAAACCCTAAACCCTAAACCCTAAACCCTAAACCCTAAACCCTAAACCCTAAACCCTAAACCCTAAACCCTAAACCCTAAACCCTAAACCCCTTTTTTCTCCCCGCATAAAACACCACACGTTCGCCAAGGCCCTGGGAGGCTGCATGGCCTGGCTTTGCCGGGGATCCCGGGTTCAGAGTGTTAGGGTTTAGGGTTTAGGGTTTAGGATTTAGGGTTTAGGGTTTAGGGTTGAGGATCTAGGGTTTAGGGTTTAGGGGTTTTAGGGGCCGTTTAGGATTCTTTAGGGTCTTTCTTGCCTTTAAAAGGGTCGTTTAGTTTCTTTTTTTCGGGTTGGAGATGTTTTTGTTGATAAAGGGTCTTTTGGGTGTTTCTCAGGCTGGTTTTAGGGCCCGGGCTTTTTCAGGTTTTTTTGGGTTTGTTTTGGGTCATGTTAGGGTTCAGTTGTGTTTGTTATTCTGAGGGTTTCGTGCTTTGTTCAGTTTAGGGTCTAAGGGTTTGGTGTGTGTGTGTGGGTGGGTGTATTTATTTGTTTGTTTTTGGGAGGATTGGTTGGCAGGTGCTAGGGTTTAGGGTACTCTAAACGGGCTGAAGAAGGCTGTGCTTAGTCAGGCCGTATGTTGCATCGAACCCTAAACCCTAAACCCTAAACCCTAAACCCTAAACCCTAAACCCTAAACCCTAAACCCTAAACCCTAAACCCTAAACCCCAAACCCCAAACCCCAAACCCCAAACCCCAAAAGCCAGCCGTAGAATCGCAAAAGAAAGGAGAGGCCTGCGGCTTCCCAAGGCAGTAGGAGGAGGGTGACGCCCTGGGCAGGCTTTGGGGTTGATGGGTAAGGGTGTTCCCCCTTATACTAACAGGGTTTAGGGTTTAGGGTTTCGGGTTTAGGGTTTGGGGTTTAGGGTTTAGGGTTTAGAGTTTGGGGTTTCGGGTTTCGGGGGTTTGGGGTTTCGGGTTTAGGGGTTTAGGGTTGTAGGGAGCATAGTACCCCCGATTTGAATCCCAAATTAAGGATTGTAACGTACAAGGGGGAACATCCCGAGGTGTTGGAGTTTCGGGCTTGGTTCGGGTCCAGGACTACGCAGTTGAAGCTGCTCCCTTGCTCGGCCCTCCTGCCCACAGCTGCTCAAGTTCCTGTCCTTCCCCGTGGGAGATGTAAACGTCCTGAACCCGCAGAAGCGCGAGGACTGTGGGTAGGGCCGGGGGAGGGAAGGGCATCCAGCGTTCCGGGCTCAGGTTTTAACACCTTCGGGCGCTAAGGGTGACATTCGGAAGACGCTTGAAGATCCGAAGAGCAGAAGGAGGAGAATGAGGAGAGGAGTTTTTGAGGCTACCCCCCCCTGAAGCCTAGCCTTTAACCCTGGCCCTAAACCCGGACCCTAAACTCTAAACCCTAAATCCCAAAAGCGTGGTATCCTTCCCCATTTCCGGAGGCCCCTTCTGCACCACAAGAGGGCGCCCCTAAATCCTGAGCCCCCGAAGCGCGTGAAGGACATCGGAGATGGACAAGGCAGCATGTAGGGCTTCCAGGGCTTATAGGGCTTGTAGGGCTTAGAGCACTTTCACGGGGTTTCTGGGCCTACTCGCTTGGAATGTGGTGTTTTGGGTAGGTTATTAGGTTGCACCGGCGACTATAAGAGGGCAGGAGGACCAGCGCCTTCGAACCCCTCCCATATGGGGGTTTCCGAAAGTAGGGGGTACCTTCTTGGGGGTACTTACTATAGGGGAAACTTCCTCTTTGGGGGACTGTATTAGGGGTCCCTTATTTTCGTAAACCACTTTTCATGCAACATGTAGGCGGCTGGGTGGTTCGACAGAAGTGCCCTGCATACTGAACCCTGTTTATAAACTACCCGCACACCTTCAAGTGCTGGCGCTGGTTCTTAGTAGGGGAATGGGGGAATGAGGTACCCTACGTAACCCCTCAAAGGCTGGTGTTTTTGAGTCGCGCTCTTTCTGGCTGGGACCCCTGGCATCGCAGCACTCAGTAGTTGAGAGCGGGTTTACGAGGGAATGGGGAAAAACATCTAAACCCTAAACCCTAAACCCTAAACCCTAAACCCTAAACCCTAAACCCTAAACCCTAAACCTCAAACCCTAAACCCTAAACCCTTGAAGTCCCTCTTAAAAACCTCCAAAGCAACCCCTCCCGGAGGCATCCCGAGATGCAAGTTGGCGAGGTCGATATTTTGTGAGGCGCTGGGGGGGGGGGGGGTGGGTAAATGATTGGGGAAACCTAGTTTCTTGAGGGCTTAGGAGTTTGGGGTTTAGGGTTCGGCTAGCCCTAAACCCTAAACCCAAAACCCGAAACCCGAAACCCCAAACCCTAAACCCCAAACCCCAAACCCTAAACCCTAAACCCCAAACCCAAAGAACCCCCTGAGCCCTGAGCTCGAAAACGGGTTCAGCCCCAGGCCTGCCGCTGCGGTGGTCGGCCTGATGCTGTGGCTTGTGATGAAGGTATTGAGGGTTTAGGGTTTAGGGTTTAGGGTTTAGGGTTTAGGGCCACTGAATCCTAAGCCGAGAGCTGCGGACCGCGCAGCACCAAGGTGTCACCGCGCGGCAGCTGCTTTCATCCAGATGGTCGGCCCCGCGCCCACGCCCGGCCCTCAGGGTTGATATGCCCCTTAACAAACCCTACAATCAACCATTGGCTAGGGTTTAGGGTTTAGGGTTCTATGATGGGCCCGAATGATAAACCCGGTAGCCAAGCCCAAACAAACCCCGAAGAAGAGTCCATGACGGTAGGCCGTGTGTTCGTCGGTTAAAGTGCCGAGCAAGCGTTTGCTGCCCGGAAGCAGTAGTCAGTGCGTAAGCACAAGGCCGCAGTCATCGTGACTCGGTGTAGTTTTGGTTCTGGTAGCCGCAACCCAGCACCTTAAGCCTCAAGCTGAAACCCAAAACCCTAAACCCTAAACCCTAAAAACCCTAAACTGCTCTAACCGACAGCTAGGCGAGCACCGACGCTGCCCCGGACTGCTCTGAGTGGCCAGGGTGACAGCGAACTCAAACAGGAGTGGCGCCTCAAGGCAGGATCCAGTCATTGCCTTCGCCAAAGCCCTACCCCCAACCCCGCCAAAAAAAGAGAAAGTGTACATATATATATATACACACACACACACATTCTTCCTTATAAGGGCCATCTAGGGATTCTCATCTTTGACTTTTTTTGGGGGGGTTCTTAAGGTTCCCCGAACCGGAAGTCCCAGTATAAGGGGGAACATCCCAAGGCTTCAGCTTACAAGTAGAGATGCTCCGAGATGCAGCCTTCTCCGCTCAGAGTCCTTCCGTTCTAGAGCGCGTGTGTGACAGGTCGGCTGAAGGACTTGTGGACATGTAGGGTTTAGGGTTTAGGGTTTAGGGCTTAGGGTTTAGGGTTTAGGGTTTAGGGTTTAGGGTTCAGGGCCGTCACAAAATTTAGGGGGTTGAAGACAGAAAGAAGTGGGAAGCGGCGCGAGCAGAAGGGATCCGGGGCCGGGAGAAATGTACCCCAAGTTGACAATTCAGTTTAGGGTTTAGGGTTTAGGGTTTAGGGGTTAGGGTTTAGGGGGGGTTCAGGGTTTTGGCTTGAAGGAGCCCTATGCAGTCTTAAGGGCTGTTGAACTCCATACAGTATGCATTGTGAGGTTTGTTGCATGACCCTAAGCCCTGAATCCTAGACCCTAAACCCTAAACCCTAAACCCTAAACCCTAAACCCTAAACCCCTAAACGCTCAGTGGGGGGTTTACCATCGCATCCGCCGCCCAAGCCCTGAAGGTGGCGCATGCCGTGGACGTCCTGCAGCAGGATGCCGCTCCGCTATTGGTCTTCGTTCTGAGGGCCCCTTTTTGGGGTTTAGGGTTTAGGGTTTAGGGTTTAGGGTTTTCGGGGATTGGTTTAGCATTTAGGGCTTACTACAACTCGGGGTCTAGGGGGTGCCGAAGAAGGCGCCCTGATTTCGGACCGTGCCAAAGCCAGTTGCTGGTGTTCATCTGATGACTCTGCCAGGTTTCTACTTCCGTGAAAATAGCCTCAACACATGTCACTCTGAGTGCCATCCTATAGCCCCCTTAGGAATCATTTTGGCATTTTTCTTCATCTAAAATCCAGGGGACTATTCAAGATAATATTTCCATTATGGTTCTAGGGGGAGTATAGCATCAGGATTGAGATAGCTGAGAAAGGCATCTTTGCGGGCAGAACCTGCGAGTTCCACCACGGAAGCAGCAGGAGCAGCAGCAACAACAGAAACGACGACGATGACGATTCGGGTTTAGGGTTTAGGGTTTAGGGTTTAGGGTTTAGGGTTTCCCTGCCGAGGTCCCACTGCTCTTCGCCACTTACAATGGTATGGGAGGACGCCTCCCCGACTTCTCCATCTACAGCCACATGCTCAAGTCTGGAAGGGGGTTTAGGGTTTAGGGTTTAGGGTTTAGGGTTTAGGCAGGAATTCACATGCCTGAAGTTTTCTATACACTCCTCAGGAGATGCGTTCAGCTTAGTTTTGTGAAGCCCAAAGAAACATTCAACAAACCTTGACATGTAAGATGGGGGTCGGAATATTGCTCATAGCATTTCCTTATGGTCCCTTTATTATTATACTAGCATAACTGCCCCCCCCCCCCCACAAAAAAAAAGACTCAATTGTTAAGGCCCTATAACATATCTTCTGGCCTTTAGAGAAGCACCCTGGTTTGGGGTTTATGGTGTAGGGTTTAGGGTCGAGTGAAATTTCAATGTCCGTGGGCACTTGTGCGTAGGGGCAGGCCAAGCGTGTAGCCTTCCTTAGGTGCAGCCCCAAATCCCTAAACCCTAAACCCGAAACCCTAAACCCTAAACCCTAAACCCTAAACCCTAAACCCCTAGTCGGCCTACGGACGCTAAGGTCCTGAGATAAACTTCGTGGATGAGAGGGCCCCGAGCATGGTTCTGCAGGGCTTGCCCGTGTACAGAAATTTCATGGCGGCGCTGCGGTGGTCGATCCGGTCCATGTTTGAGGAGAGCAAACGGGACGAAAGGAGGGACCTTTCCTAGGGGTCGTTTAGGGGTTTATTCAGGGCTGATTTAGGGGTTTACTGTGGCATGTTCCCCCTTATACTAGCAGTCCTTACTGAGGATCGTACCCCCTATTAAAATCCGTATTGCGGACCGTTGGTATGTTCCCAAGGCTTACTTATACCCCCTGAAGGAGAGCAAGTTGGAGATCACGGCCATGGGGAAGACGCTGTCCGTCGATGGCAAGTTGTCCATGCGATGGCGTCTGCATCTCTGGCCCAAAGGGGTCATGTCTCATGCCCTCGACTTTATGGCCCCAGCCTTGCAAAACTGGGGATTTCACCTGAGGGACACCCACCAGTGGGAGGCGCCGGCCATAGTCGAGGGCTACTGCAGCTACGAGTTCGACCCATGGTCTGGTCTAATTTCCAAGCACACGGTGGACATCAAGAACCCGCCCCTCTTCATTACGGACCTGTTGCGGCAGTACTCCGGCAGTGAGGTGAAGGCCTCCCTGCCCTATGGGCTTCCCCTGAGGTTTCAGGCCACGGACGCTACACGAAGCCTCCGAAGTTCTGGAGCCTTGGCCGGCGCCTCCCTGCGGGGCGAGCCCCGTGCAGCCTCCACGATCGCACGCACCGCGAAGGTCATCGGGAGGGGGAGGGAAGCAAAGACCCGAAATCATCAGTCTCCGCAAGCCCTAAACCCAGGGGGGCAAGCATTGTTTTGAGAGTGGATGCCCTGAACTCTACTGTAGCCGAGAAACTCATCAACACAGGACAAAGCCAGGACCCGAACCCCAGAACTGAACCACTCAAAATATCACGTACTACACATCTCATATTACATATTTTACATCTCGTGCTACATACTACATGTTACATGTTACATGTTGCATGTTACCGTAGTACACTAACTTCAGATTATATACGCATTGCATATTTGATATTGCGTATTGCATACTACATAGTACATATTACACAATACGTATCGCGTATTGTGTGTCACGTGCCACACGTCACATGTTGCATATTCCATATTCCATATATTACATGTCAGACTACATCGTACACATTTCACATCACGTGTCACATATCACATCTTGCATGTTGCATGCTCCATGTGATATATGGTGAAATAAGACCTTATACAGATATTCTCCATATATATATATATGTACTTTTACATGTATGTCTATGTATATGTATATAATGTATTGCAGCCTACATGGTCCGGCCCTAAAGTCTACAGCGCCTGCCGACCCGAAAGCCGCTGAAAGAGGCCGCCGGCAAGGATTGGTCTTTCCCTCAGAGCCCCGGCTGCTTTTTTTGGGACGTGGGTTTGGGGTTTAGGGTTTTGGGTTTTGGATGGTTTTGGGTTTTGGGTTTAGGGGAGCTCCATGCCCTCAACCCTAAACCCCAATCTTGTATGGGACTTTTTGGCGTTCCGGTGCCTCTGCGGGCTTTCTCCTAGGGTTTAGGGTTTAGGGTTCAGGGTTTAGGGTTTAAGGGTTTAGGGGTTAGGGTAAAAAACATAGGGTTTAGGGACAGCGTCTTTGGCGTTGGGAGTTTCGAATGCTGTGCTATCCCAACGTTTAGGCCCAAAGACCTCAAAACGCTGGGACGCTTGTCGCTTCCGAAAGGCAAGAACACGCAACACTGCCCCTGCAAGCTCAATGAAACCAATCTTTTGGGGTCTTTCCCCTTCTCCTAACAGTCCTTAGTAGGGATTATAGTACCCCTAAACCCTAAACCCTAAACCCCACACCCCAAACCCTAACCCTAAACCCTAAACTTTAAACCCTAAACCCTAAACCCCATTAGAATCTCAAGCCCAGAGGCCACCAGGCAAAACATGGGGGCCCTCCAAGTTCCCTAACCCCCCTAGCCATTGGGACTTGGGAACCCTAAAGCCCAAAACCTAAACCCTAAACCCTAAACCCTAAACCCCAAACCATAAACCCCAAACCCTAAGCCCTAAGCCCTAAACCGTCAGAAACTGTTGGTTGTTGTGTGGGCGTAAGGGACCTTGAGATAGAGCTTGGCACAGAAGCAGAATCGCGACAATTGCGGCCACGGCTGACTCCTTAAACCTTACACTTAGCGATACTTGGGAATAGTTTTTGGTTTTTTTTGGGGCACTACAATTCCTAAGAAACGCCTAAAAATGTATAGCACCCCTAAACACGAAACCCTAAACCCTAAACCCTAAACCCTAAACCCTAAACCCCTAAACCCCTAAACCCTAAACCCTAAACCTTACACCTTACACCCAGGAGCTGTGAGGACGACTTCGAGTGCAACGGCGGCACCGCGAATTTCCCTCTACAATGCTGCGGCCCGTCTGATGTGGGCTTAGGGCTTAGGGCTTAGGGCTTAGGGCTTAGGGCTTAGGGTTTAGGGCTTAGGGTTTAGGGTTTAGGGTTTAGGGTTTAGGGTTTAGTTCCACTTGTTTTCAGACCCAAGGGCCCTGAAGTTTCAATGGGCGTAGCAACTAGGGCACCTACTTGGCTGTCTTGGTCAAGACAGCGATGCTGAATGATCTCTGATCGCAACCCAAAAACAAGACACCAAAGAATCAAAGAGTAATCCTTACCAGAGTCTCTGGGCCAAGCCAGAAAGAGCCAACGCCTCGCTCGAGCCTACAACGCGCCTACGTATGCCCTAATCCAGAAACCGTTAAACCCTAAACGCGCAACCCTAAACCCTAAACCCTAAACCCTAAACCCTAAACCCTAAACCCTAAACCCTAAACCCTAAACCCCAAAACCTAAGCACCCTCGAAGCTGGCCACTGCAGGTGAACTGCCCCTTGTGGGCAAGTTCTGCTGCAAGCCCCCTGAAGACGACATCCAGCCGAACAGCAAGGATCCTGCTTGGCTACCCCTGCCAGTTCCCTCTTCGGACCCCTGGCGGTGATGTTGTTCAGAACAAGCTAGCTGAATGCTGAGGAGCCCTAAGCCCTAAGCCCTAAACCCTAAACCCTAAACTGGCCCTAAACCCTAACCCCTAAGCACGAAACCCTAAACACTAAACCCGAAACCCTAAAGGTTCAATCCAAGAGCCGAGCAACTGCCAGGGTCCAGTCTAGAACTCCCCAGGAGTTCCTGCGAATGCACCGTTGTACAGTTCATGCGCTGGCACCGAATTGGCACCTGCATGTATTGTGACGGCCGTTGGGGTTTAGGTCCTAGGGTCCAGGATGTCGGGGCGATGGCTCACCCGTTTGAGATCTTCCCGGTGGCCATCGTAGCACGCGCGGGCTACTGGCACTTGCCAGCTGTGCCGCAGCTTTGCCTCTGCTCCTCGCGAGTACCGAGAGTGCTGTGTGCACAGATGTCATGAAAACCCATATTATCTCCGAGCCTAAAGCATCTAAAGCCTTTTGAAACCACGAAACCGCTGTGCGAACAGCAGCGGGTTGCAGCATCTTGCTTTTTAAATGCACTCGTTTCCTACTATTTGCTCAAGAGCCACCCAAAGAATCCAGAGATACGCTTCCTTACAAGGGGCAATACAGGGATTGCTATTTTTAAGGCTTGTTGTTTTTAGGGATCATGGTTTTGATTCTTGTTTCAGAGAGATTTTTTGGCGGGGGTTCTTAAAAGCAAAGAGTAGCCTCAAGCTGTGGCATGGTCTCAGATGACGATAGCCTCAGGAGGCCTGAGCGTGCCAAGGTCGGCGCAATTGTTCCAGTAGTCTGGGCCCTGCAGCGGGATTTTGGGGTTTAGGGTTTAGGTGTTTAGGGTTTGGGGTTTAGGGTTTAGGGTTTGGGGTTTAGGGTTTGGGGTTTAAAGTCCAGGGCATGACGCGGCTTGCTCCTACTCTCAGCGTTGTTTATGTTGACGGTCCTCCTGTTCGTCCCAAGATGAACGCACAGCCGAGCGTGTGTAACACTCGGCATGCTGTGAAGCAGGCCTTGGCGCTTGGCCGCAATACCGAGATTTTCGATCCCCGCTTGAAGTTGGCAGGTTTAGTGTTGAGGGTTTAGGGTTTAGGGTTTAGGGTTTCTAGCAGCCCTAGCATCACGCGCCGTCGTTCTACAGACGTGGCCCCAGTAGCAGGCCAAGTCAGCAGTAGAAGTGCTGGTGTTCTTTCGGGGACCTCCTCTGAGAGACACAGACTTGTAGGCAAGAGTTTGGGAGTTTCCCCTTATTATACTAACAGTCCTTCACAGGGATTATAGTACCCCCTAGTATAATCCCTGTTAGGGAGCTGTTCTTAATAGGGATTGTAGTACCCCCTATTATAATCCCTATTAAGGAGCTGTTCGTATAAGGGGGAACATCCCAAGCAAGCGTTGTCAAGCGTCAGGACCAGAGGTCCTCGCAGATTTCCCAGACACGCGTACACGGCACCTCTGGAACCGGAAAAGCCAGGGGGGTCCACTACATCTTCTCCCTGCTCGGGTGGGGATTGAGGGTTTCTGACTTAATTAGGGTTTATAGGTTTAGGGTTTAGGGTTTAGGGTTTCGGGGTACGACCGCAGGGAGCATTTCAGCATTCTTAAGGCACACCTACAGCATGTCTTCGGGTCTTCAACCAGCGGCAGCTGTTGAAGCGACCTAAGGCTCATATGGGCAGTAGCGTGGCAGGGTTTATGGTATACTTGGAGGTTCATTGGTGGTTATAAGCAGGGGGTACGTACAACCCCACCTATAACTACTCATGAACCTCCAAGTAGGGTTCTGTGTCCGCCTGCCTTCATTTTCATAGGGCTTACATAGGGGCTGTATGGGGGAATTAGATTAAGCGCACCTGCTAGGGGTCCCTCCTTATACCCCATTACTTATAGTAAAACTGTTCGAAACTAGTTCTAGGGGCACCCTGCGTGCTGCTTTACTGCTTATGCAGCAGCACTTGTGGATCCTCCCGCAGGCACGTGTAACATGAATATATGTATATACACATACAAGTGTATGTGTTTCTGTTTGCATGTATACGTATCTGTATAGAGTTAAGTGTCTTACAAACTTCGCAAAACACCCGTTTGAAGTTATTTACTTCCAATTGGCGCTCCAGGGATATTCTGTGGGATAAAGTGCTGGGACATCTAAACCCTACACCCTAAACCCCAAACCCTAGACCCTAGACCCTAAACCCTAAACCCTGAACCCTAAACCCCACACCCTAAACCCTAAACCCTAAACCCCAAACCCTAAACCCTAGACCCTCAACCTCAAACCCTAAACCCGAAACCCTTATAAGTAGGTTCTCTCCCCAGGTGAAGAGCGTCCAGGCGGCGCTCATTCCGCAAATCAACGGCATGAAGCTTGGCCTCGACTTCGTGTTCAGGGTTCAGGGTTCAGGGTTTAGGGTTTAGGGTTTAGGGTTTAGGGTTTAGGGTTTAGGGTTTAGGGTTTAGGGTTTAGGGTTTAGGAGTGCAATTAAGCCCTACTTGGAGGTTCAAGGGTAGTTGTAAGTATGGTGTTGAAGTAGGGTGAGTATAGGTACAACTGCTTATAACCTTAACTCCCCATTTTGTCCTAGTAAGGAAGAATGTTTTTTTTTGGCTGGTGCTTAAGCAAATAGTAGTTACCCTAAACCATAAACCCTCAACGCTAATCCCTCAACTAGTAGTTTAGGGTTGCGACAAAGTGTGCCCCCCCAAAGCCTTCGCCCTAAACCCTAAACCCTAAACCAAAAACCCTAAACCCTGAACCCTAAACCCTAAACCCTAAACCCTGAACCCTATACCCTGAACCTTGAACCCTGAACCCTAAACCCTAAACCCTGAACCCTAAACCCTGAACCCTGAACCCTAAACCCTAAACCCTAAACCCTAGGGATTGAAAGGAACGTGGTTGGCCTCGTGTCCATCCCTGGGATGATGTTGCGGCCTCAGTTGGTACCAAGTGCGTCGGCTCTAGCCCTGGGCATAAGGCTTTTAGGGTTTAGGGTTTAGGGTTTAGGGTTTAGGGTTTAGGGTTTAGGGTTTAGGGCTACCACAGCATTCTGGCCGGAGGGCTAGAACCTTTCCACCCCCGTAAGAACTCTCAAGTTTCAGGGCCGGCGCTGTCTGTGCTTCTGTTCTGCCTGCTCGCTTGGGCTCGCTCAGGCAGCCCTAAACCCTAAACCCTAAATCCTAAACCCTAAACCCTAAACCCCAAGCCAGAAACTAAGGCTTCTTGACTTGAGAGACAGGTTGAGACCGTCGTACACAAGAAACGGGCTGTCTGTGTTTTGGAGCAAGTGAAGGATGGCTCTGAAGTACCTAAACCCTGAACCCTGAACCCTGAACCCTGAACCCTGAACCCTGAACCCTGAACCCTGAACCCTGAACCCTGAACCCTAAACCCTAAACCCTAAACCCTTAACCCTAAACCCCAAGCCCAAAACTCTGGCGGCCCTACGCCTAGAATTCCGCAGTTCCTTTCAGGACTGGGCAGATCTTGGGCGGGGCGCCGCCGATGAAGGCTGCGCGCTACCAGATTGCCTGGAAGCCCGGAGACCAGGTCATGGGTAGCTAAAAGTAAGGTTTGGGGTTTAGGGTTTAGGGTTTGGGGTGTGGTGTTTAGGGCTACCTGGAGGTTCACGGGTAGTTACAAGTAGGGTTAGAAGTACCCTCGAACACGGTTAGCACAAGTTATAAATCTAGTTACCGTACATATAACTCACTTATTGCTACCCGTGAACCTCCAAGTAGCCACGGAATCATTACGCCTTGAACTTACCCTAAACCCTAAACCCTAAACCCTAAACCATAAACCCTAAGCCCTGAACCCTAAACCCTAAACCCTAAACCCTAACCCCTAACCCCTAAACCCTTTCTGGGGCCTTCTAAAAAAAACTTTGAGGCCCTCCCATGAGCTCCCAAGCGCGGGGTTTTGCCTTCATAGAGCTGGGGTTTAGGGTTTAGGGTTTAGGGTTTAGGGTTCAAATCCGAAACCCTAAGCCCTAAACCCTGAACCCCAACAGGCAACATTTTTGGGAAGCGACTGCGAAATGGGGGGGGCCTGGAGAGGTGCTGCCGCCATACAGGGTTTAGGGTTTAGGGTTTAGGGTTTAGGGTTTAGGGTTTAGGGTTTAGGGTTTAGGGTTTAGGGTTTAGGAGATCTTCTGCCTCTCTGCAGGAAGATGCCCTAGATTCTAGACCCCAAGCCCTGAACCCTCAACTCACAAGGTCATCCTCTTCCTCATCTCGGGCTGCGCCTTCCTGTCGGTCTGCATGATCTGCGCAGGTGCCTCAGTCGTTTTCGCGTTTGTGCAATCCCGGGATTGTCATTCTGGGTATTCAGGGCTCGCTAATCTATCTCTCTGGCAGTTGTATGCAGAAGGCATCCATGGTTTCAAGACCATTCGAGTTTAACCCTTGCGGGCCTCAAGGGTTTGAAGGTTTCAGGTGCTTCGGCTGGAGCGAGGGTTCCAAGATTGGAGGAAGTCCGGGTTGGATGCTTTTTAAGGCCTTTGGGGATCAGGAGAGCCAAGCCCTGCGCATCCCTTAACCTCTAGTTTTCTTCCTGGGATCCAAGGCTGCCCCCTAACTTAGCTACTGTACCCCAAGAAGTATGTCCCAAGTGGCCCCTCAATGAGCCTTGTTAGGCCGTGCTTGTTTCTCTTGCAGGTCGGTACTTTCTGGGTTCATGGGTAGCTGCAAGTGGGGGTCAAAGTACCCTGATAAACCCTACATCCCATGATCCCTGGCCCCTAGAATCCCTCCCCTACACCCCTCTCAGAGAGCCCAAGGCCCCTAGGGGTGTAGGGTTTAGGGTTCAGAGTTCAGGGTTCAGGGTTTTTAGGGTTTAGTTCAGGGTTTAGGGTTCAGGGTTTAGGGTTTAGGGTTTAGGGTTTGGGGTTTGGGGTTTAGGGTTTAGCAGCCTGCTGCAGTCGCGCACGAGGCTTACACCATCCAGGCCTTCTTTGACGAGAGCGGCCGGCACGATGACAGCTCGGCCCGCAGCCCGGTTCATGGCCTTGTG